ATCCGCCTAGTCAAAGCCATGGTATTCCCTGTAGTCACCTACGGATGTGAGAGCTGGACCTTAGGGAAGGCTGAGCGAAGGAAGATCGATGCTTTTGAACTGTGGTGTTGGAGGAAAGTTCTGAGAGTGCCTTGGACTGCAAGAAGATCCAACCAGTCCATCCTCCAGGAAATAAAGCCCGACTGCTCATTGGAGGGAAAGATACTAGAGACAAAGTTGAAGTACTTTGGCCACATCATGAGGAGACAGGAAAGCCTAGAGAAGACAATTATGCTGGGGAAAGTGGAAGGCAAAAGGAAGAGGGGCCGACCAAGGGCAAGATGGATGGATGGCATCCTTGAAGTGACTGGCTTTACCTTGAAGGAACTGGGGGTGGCGACTGCCGACAGGGAGCTCTGGCATGGGCTGGTCCATGAGGTCACAAAGAGTCGGAAGCGACTGAACGAATTAATATAGACTAGCCATCCCCTGCCACACGTTGCTGTGGCCCACATGGGGGTTCTGTGTGGCAGGTTTGGCCCAATTCTATCGTTGGTGGGGTTTCAGAGTGCTCTGTGATTGTAGGTGAACTATAAATCCCAGCAACTACAACTCCCAAATGTCAATTCTATTTGCCCCAAACTCCACCATTGTTCACATTTGGGCATATTTGAGTATTTGTGCCAAGTTTGGTCCAGATCCATCATTGTTTGAGTCCACAGTGATCTCTGGGTGTAGGTGAACTACAACTCCAAAACCAAAGGACACTACCCACCAAACCCTTCCAGTATTTTCTGTTGGTCATGGGAGAACTGTGTGCCAAGTTTGGACCAATTCCATCTTTGGTGGGGTTCAGAATGCTCTTTGATTGTAGGTGAACTATAAATCCCAGCAAGTACAACTCCCAAGTGACAAAATCATGTATTTTTTTTAATTGAAGGACATACATTGGGTTGTTAGGCGCATTGTGTCCAAATTTGGTGTCAATTGGTCCAGTGGTTTTTGAGTTATGTTAATCCCACAAACGGACATTACATTTTTATTTATATAGATTTCCTAAGCATTCGGTTTGCAGAATGTTAGCAAGGAATTCTGCTCTGTCTTTCTCCCTTGCTTCATCTCTTCGCCCTGGGATCCTCCTTGTTTCTTTTCTCCAGCCCTGAAAACTAGGAAAAAATTGAAGCCATGTGTCTATATGTAGGGAACACCCAATGGACCATACAAAACAAGGGTATCAGATGACAGCTGGGAACAGTGCATAGGACAAGCTCCTGAGAGGATAACCAAGAGAGTCAGCATAAAACAAGGCAACCGCAGCCTCATACATGTCAATTCAAATCAGAATTCAGGGCCTTCTTAGACAAAGCTTATTTTATCTGTTAGCTTGCTAGCCCCAGCCAGTATCGATTCTCTTCTGGATGAAAACTGTGCAGGTACAACTGCACCAGGAGCTCCAATTTTGTTTGCTTTGCACTGAATGTTTGTTGTAGTCCTAAGTTTCAGGGACGCTGCAGATAGGTGGCTTCTTTTGGCTGCAATCATAGGGCAAGCCACCTGTCAATTATCGTTAGGTTCCCTGGTCCCGCCCCCCTTTTTGGGGTTTGGGGGGAATAGGAGCCAATTTGGGTCAGTCCACACAGAGAAGCCTTTCACACAGGACATAAAACCAAGAGCTCCTGTAGAAAGCTTCATTTTCTACAGCTTGGCCGGGGTTATACAGCCCTACAGCTTCTTTGCTGAGGGACTTCAACCAGCCATCATCGAAACCTGAACTCCTTTCCCCCTGGAAGTCTACAAAGCTCTGCTTGGTAAGGGTCACTCACGGAAGCCAGAAGTAGTTGGTACCGGGTGCAGGGGCTCCACGCCAACAGAGGCAAAGACAGACTGCCCAGATTAGAAGTTAAGGATTTCCCCATTTGTTAAATTACAGTTTATGAAGACGGTGCCTGTTCCCAGTGGACAAGATTGAGAGAGAGCCAATAGACTGTTAAGAAAGCCTTAAAGTACCTGTTTGTTTTCAATAATAAAGAACTTTGTTGAACCTTTAAGCAATCTAAAGACTCTGTTTTAAGGAAATCCAAGGGCCTTTAATCTGAGGCAGCCCCAGCGTCCTGTTGGGCACACAGAATTTATGTCCTGTCTACAGTCTTATGCACAGGCCCAGCGTGCGACAGCACAGAAACCCTGAGTAGCAACATTTAAAACATATCAGATGCAAAGCCTGTTTTCTTACTTTTCAGCTCCATAATGCTTTCTAGGAAAGCAAGTTTGTTCTGGGTGGAGTTTTGCTTCAATATGCAAGAGTAGTAGGGCTGAGCTTTGGAGGTCTTACGATTGGACCAACTTGAATATTTTGTAGGGAATAATCAAGGGTTTGCCTTTAATTTTCAGAGCGGCCAGCTCCTCCAAGGGAATTGAAGGTCCCCCAGTCTGAAGTGACATCACGGAGTTTGCAGCTGCACTGGGTTCCTGGAAGTGACGGATCTTCACCGATACGCTACTTCACGGTGCAAACGAAAGAGCTGCCAGATGGGGACTGGAAGACATATTCATCATCTATCAGCCATGAAGCCACCTCCTGCACAATTGACAGGTACCCATACAGAGGGAGAAAGCATAACATGCCTTGACCCTAATAGCGTCTTCTAGGTCAGTGGTTTGCAGCCTTTTATTGACCAAGGACCACTTTGACCAGGGACCACTCTCCAACATGAGTACCAAAAGGGATATAAATCAGTTTTTGGTCAACTTTAGATTCAGTTTGGTTGTTTTGGATGCTGATTCAGAAAATTGCATTGGATAAACCACATCAGCTCTAGTTTCTGATCCAGAACATATTCCATCCAGTAGCCACCATCTGCTCACCCACAGAAAATCATATTTAATAGTCTAGAGCCAAAGTGGTCATAGTAATATTTTGTGGGTAGTCAGCTTCTCCCCTCCCAACATCCCTGTTTCCTCAGCACTCGTTTCCTCGAGGCAACGGTATAGTAATGGTGAGAGCACAGACCATATTATTGTTCTTGTGGTCCACAGACCACAAGTTGGGAACCACCGTTCTAGACTCAAAGCACCAATGAGACTCTTCTTCCACTGTACGAAAGAAGAAAGCAGGGTTTTATAGTTTCCCGAAGACCTATGTACTCAACTCAAAACTCAAAGCGTAATCTTGATCCTTTCATGGTACTTTTTCAGTAGTAGGCAATGGCTGTACTGGTACGGCTGTACCAGGAGCTCCAACTTTATTTTCTTTCTGTTATCTGTTCACAGTTATAGGGCAGGGCTCCTGTCCATCATAATTAAGCTTTGGTTCCGCCCCTTGTTCAGGGCTCTGGGAGGGAAAGGAGCCATTTTTGGGCAGTCTCTCATAAGGAAGCTAAGCTATAGGATGTAGATCAGCTCATCCCGTAGAAAAGCTTCTTTTCTCAATAGCATCCAGGAAACAGAGCATCCAGGGAAAAGGGAGCATCCAGGGAAACAGAAATTCCAGGGAAAAGGTCCCAAGGCTCTGGCTGAGAACTCTCAGCCTCTCTGCCTCACAGCAATCAGAGGGAAAACAGCCTGGAAGTTTTCAAAGAATTCTCGGAGGGAGGACAGCAGTACAGACCCACTGAACTCCATCTGAAATATCTACAAGCCTCAGCTAGTAGGTCTACTCAATACCCAGACGCATTTGGAATCGGTAGTAGGACCCACACCGATGAGGCATAGATAGAAAGCAGCCTGGGAGAGGTTAAAAGGGGTTTTTCCTACAGAGAAAGTTTAGTTAATCAAAGCCAGGTACCAGTCCATTGAGGACTAGACTAAGAAAGCCTTGAAGTGTTGTTTGAACCATTGAAGATTTGTTGTTTGTTCCATAATAAAGACTTTGTTGTATCATTAAAGACTCTAAAGACCATCACTTCAGAAAAATCCCTGAGAACCTCTCTTTGAGGCGCCCCTGGCTTCCCGCTGGGCTTAAAGTATATGTCCTATAGAAAAGTACAGCTGTTACAGGCCCAGCGCGCGACAGAAAAATAGCAATATTAAAAATATAATTCTGAGTTTTTGCTATTAATCCAGAATAAACTAAACATTCTATTCGGTTACCGATTAATATTATTTACTCTTGGGATAGGGCTCAAGATGGATTCAGTGTATAAGATTCTAGAAGTAGTTAAAGATAACCTCAGGATTGTTGCAAGGCCCAAATGTTTATGCATTGTGTATGATTGTGGTTTTATAGTTTTATAATTTTAATGGTTTTAAATTATTGTCATTGTTGTTTTTTTGATATGAGATGTTTTATACATGTAAAGCATTGAATTTTGGTATTGATGGTGTTGGGAACTGCTTTGTGTCCCACCAGAGGTGAGAAAAGCCGTATATAAGTGCAATAAATAAATAGAGAGCTACCATGGTACACTGGATTAAGCATTAGACTAGCAATCCAAACACCAGGACTAAAATTCCCATTTAGCAGTTGGGCAATCTTGCAAAAATCACACTCGCTCCCCTTCAAAAGAAGGCAATGACAAACCACCGCTGAATTGATCTTACTAAGGGAACTCTAACAGAGATTTGTGTATGGAACGAGTCCCACATTGAAGGAGTCAAATTCAAGATATGAATGTTAGGAATTGTGCTAAAGGTAGGTAGCAAGTTGGTTCTGGTCAGGGAAGTAGCCCCAGTGCCCTAGGCCTAGCTCTAGGTTTTCCAGGTGTTTGGGGACTTCAACTCCCAGAAGCCCTGGCCAGCTTGTCCAGTGCTCAGGAATTCTGGGAGCTGAGGTCCAAAACATCTGGAGGACCAAAGGTTGGACGCCACTGATTTAAAGAGTCATCTTCAGACATATTATAGCTTGACAAATTTCATGGAGATGTTATGAAGATAAAATGTACTAATCATTAAAAAAATATTGTTCCTTTTTAAGTGATGAAAAAATGGGACTAAATCAATAATTAAACTGTGCCTCAACCACGGAGAACAAGCACTGGATAATTAGGGGTGTAGTTAAGGATCTATTTGTCAGTAATGTTGCTGCTGTGCTGGAGAAAAAGCAATAAAATGCTGCATGGAGGAAGCGAGTAATTAACCTTGCACGTGACCTTGGCTTAATTAAGCCTTCTTTCTCAGGGAAGGTTTGTGAAAGGAGCCTGATGAAGGACAGAGGGACTTCTGAACAAGGTAGCGTCTCAAAGCAGGGTTTTCATTTACCTTCCACGTGGAATGTAGTATTTGGTCCCACAAAAAGGCAAGGAAGCGTGGGGAAAGTACAACACCATTCTCACACATGAGGTATGAGCAAACCCAGGCCCGGGAACTGGATGAGGTCCCTTGGGCTCATTCCTCAGACCCTCCTCTCTCTCACCACCCTAGCCTTGCCTCCTTATCTCTTTCCTTCCTCCTTCCCCCTCCCTCTTTCTCCTTCCCTCCTTCCTTCCCTTCCACTCTTTCATCTTTCCTGCATTCTTTCCTCCCTCCTTCCCTTTCTCCTTCCTTCCTTCCTCCACTCCCCTCCCTTCCCCTTCCCTTTCACCTGTTCTTTCTCCCTCCTTCCCTTTTTTCCTCCTTCTTCCTTCCTTCCTTCTCCTCCTTCCTTCTCCTTCCTTCCTTCCTTCCTTTCTCCCCTCCCTCTCCCTTCCCCTTCCCTTTCATCTTTCCTTCCTTCTCCCATCCCTCCTTCTATTCTCTTTGACCCTACTTCCTTTCATCCTTCTCTTCGTTTCATCCATCTCTTTCCTTCCTCCTTCCAGCCTTCCCTTCCATTCTTACCTCCCTTTTTCTCCCTCCCTTCCTTCCCTTCCTCCCTTTTGTCCTTCCTTCCCTCCTTTCCTCCTTCCTTCCTCTTTTTCTCCTTCTCCTTCCTTCCTTCCTTCTTTCTCCTCCTTCTTCCTTCCTTCCTTCCTTCCTTCCTTCCTTCCTTTTGTCTTCCCTTCCCTTCCACTCTTTCATCTTTCCTGCCTTGTTTCCTCCCTCTTTCCCTCTCTCCCTTTCTCTTTCCTTCCTCCCCTCCCCTTTCATCTTTCTTTCTTTCCTTCCTTCCTTCCTTCCTCTCCTTCCCTTTCATCTTTCCTTCCTTCTCCCATCCCTCTTTCTATTCTCTTCGACCTTTCCTTCCTTTCATCCTTCTCTTCGTCTTTCATCCATCTCTTTCCTTCCTCCTTCCAGCCTTCCCTTCCATTCTTACCTTCCTTTTTCTCCCTCCCTTCCTTCCCTTCCACCCTTTTGTCCTTCCTTCCCTCTTTCCTCTCTTCCTCTTTCCCTCTCCTTTCTCTTCCTTCCTTCCTTCCTTCTTCCTTCCTTCCTTCCTTCCTTTCTTCCTTCCCTTCCTCTTTCATCTTTCCTGCCTTGTTTCCTCCCTCCTCCCTCTCTCCCTTTCTCTTTCCTTCCTCCCTCCCCTCCCCTTTCATCTTTCTTTCTTTCCTTCCTTCCTTCTCTCCTTCCCTTTTCTTTCCTTCCTTTCCTCCCTTCTTCTTTTTTTCCCCTTCCTTCCTTCCTCTTCTCTTCCTCTCCCCTTTTCTCTTCCCTTCCTCCTTCCAGCCTTCTTCTATCCTTACCTCCCTCTTTCTCCCTCCCTCCACCCTTTCATCCTTCCTTCCCTTTCCTCCTTCCTTCCCTCTCTTTCTTCTTCCTTCCTTCCTTTTTGTCTTTCCTTCCTTCCCTCTTTCCTCCCTCATTCCATCTCTCTTTCCCTCCTTCCATTTTGTCTTTCCTCCCTTCTCTCATCCCTCCCTTCCTCTTCCCTTCCACCCTTTTCCTTCCTTCCTTCTCTTTTTCCTTCCTCCTTTCCTCCTGGGAGATGTTTAGTTGAGAGAAGAGACAGTAGGGAGGGAACATGAGAACCATATTTCCATATTTCAAAGGGTATCCCATTGAAGAGGAGGAGAAGGAGGGGCAAACTGATTTTCTGCTGCTCTAGAGACCAGGACACAAGAAGGGAGCAATGGGTTCAAATGGCAGAGAAAGAAATTTGACTGAAAAGATTAGGAAGAACTTCCCGAGAATAAGAGCTGTAGGAGAGAGCCTAGGCTGCCTGGGAGTGTGGTGGTCTCCTTCTCTGGAGGCTTTTCCACAAAGGCTGTCTGTTGGGAGTGTGGTGGTCTCCTTCTCTGGAGGCTTTTCCACAGAGGCTGTCTGTTGGGAGTGCTTTGATTGTGCCTTCTTGCAGAGCAGGGGGTTGGACTGGATGACCCTTGGGGTCTCTTCCAGCTCTAGGATTCTATATTAGGAGTAGGCAATACGGGGTCTCATGGAGACATTTTTCATCTCCCGTCCACCATCTCATTCAGACCAAGACCAACCCTTTTGGGATCCAAATGTTTCTTGTCTTTCCTTGACTTTCTGCCTCCAAAAGCAGAGAAAGGGGGGGGAAGGCAGAGAGGGGGCTTGGGGAGAACCCCCTCCCTTCCGGGCCACCCACCCTACTTTGGCCCGCCATGCAGCCCCCAAGTTAAAAAGTTTGCCTGTCATACATCTGTCTGCTTCAGTGGCTGAGGGTGAAAAGGAAAGGGCCTGAGACTGGGTTATTGTAGGTTTTCCGGGCTATATGGCTATGTTCTAGAGGCATTTTCTCCTGACGTTTTGCCTGCATCTATGGCAAGCATCCTCAGA